CTTCCTTTTGGGTTTTTTTCCCTTCTTTTGGGTTTTTTTTTCTCTTTTGGGTTTTTTTTTCCCTTCTTTTTGGGGTTTTTTCCCTTCTTTTGGGTTTTTTTTTCCTTTCTTTTTGTTTTTTTTTCCCTTCTTTTTGTTTATTTTTTCCCCTTATTTTTGGTTTTTTATTTCCCCTTCTTTTTTGAGGTTTTTTTTTTTCCCTTCTTTTTGGTTTGGGGTTTTTTTTCTCCTTCTTTTTGGGGGCTTTTTTCCCCTGTTTGTTGGGAGGTGTTTTTTCCTTCTTTGCTGGGTTTTTTTCCTCCTGCCGCTGGGCTGCAGCTCGCCAGTGCAAGGTCTATTAGGAGATGGGTCCTCCGAACTCATCACTGAAGGACGATATCTTCATTGCTACCTCCTCCTCTTTTATTTTAAGTTTGAAATCACTCTCGTTTTACTTTGAAAAATCTTAATTAATAAGAGGGTTGTACAAACCTCCCCGTGGCCCTGATCAGCAGCGTTCCCCCTGTAGCTTGGGGACCGGTGAAGCAGTTTTCCCTGCAGGGCAGCGGGGCTGGGGGCTGGGGGGGTCTTGTATTTATTTGCCCCCACTTTAAATGACATGGGGAAAAGTCGGAGATATTCAGCTGCGAGTATTTAGGGCGAAATAACATCCTAAATAAAATGCCCCAGTAAAGTTTGGAGCTGGAGAGCTTTTGGGTTGCATTAAGCAGTTGGATGCTGAGTTGGTGGAGGATGAGCAGCGGCCGTAGAGATGCTTAGGACAGACCCAATAACCTCACGGGGGCTTTTTCTCCCCCAAATCCTCCTTCCCATCACAATTTTTTTTAAATTGCTTTTGCACAGGGAAGATGTGAAGGGTGGGATCCTGATTTATTTTTATTTTCCTCATTTTGGAAACTAGCTTCCAATACTAAACCCTGCCTGCCACCTGGTTTTTTGCCCCACTCACTGTTTGCTGCTCCACTTACCAACGTGGAGCGATAACGTGGTGATGCCCGGTAGCCAATTTCAAGCAAAAAAGCTTTTATTTTGCCCTTTCCAAGCACCTACAGGAGCTCTGTATCCCTCTTATGGACCTCTTAGGGTTTCCTCTTTGGGAGCAAGCTGCTTGCACGCAGGAATAATCATCTATTTAGTGCTAAATAGGTTTTTTTTTTCCATTTTTTTGCCAAAAGAATGCAAAAGAGTCACATTTGGGTTTACCTGGAGCACCACTTAAAGACCAAATTCTTTAGCATCCTTGTGGGCAAGGGGGTTTGCAGCGCAATAAATCGCATCCTGCGTAGGCTCAAACCAAACTGGTCCAAGGCTTGGTCTTGAGCTTAAAATTAAAGCACCGTCCAGCTGAAGGGTCCAAACTCTTCCACCTTTTTAACTGTAATTTTTAACCCTTGCTATAGTCTAAGTCGTCTAACGGTGATGCTGGTTTAGGTACCGGGGAGATTTGGATTTCTGGCAACATTTCTGCCCCCCCCCATGGGCTTGGGGCTCCACGTGAAGTTGTTTGGGCTTAACGCCACCGAAACAGCAGATGTAAAAACTCTTTCATTAGACAGAAAATAGATGGGGTAAATACAAGGTATAGACGGGCCCAACCAGCGCGCTGGCTTTATTAGAAAATATTTGTTGGGTGGTAGCGATACCGTTAGTGGGAGCAGGGGAGGAGAAAAGGTTAACTGAAATTCTGGGGTTTAGGCCAAATTTAGTGCTGGAAGGGAACAAAGGCGCCCACAGGCTGGGGAGGCAGGGACAGACAGGGCAAAAAATGCCGCTTCTGTCTGCGGCGCTGCGGGGATGGGCGAGAGCTGTTTGCACGAAGGAGGCTGACGTGCGTCTTGGCTTTATCCATTTTAATTTGTACCAGACGTCGAACACTTAGAAAAGTATCGGAACGGCAAATTTCGTGCATGCACCGTTACGGATTTACAAAACATTCGCGTATCACAAAGTACAGGTTACCTCAAAGCCCTGCTTTTCCGGTGAATATCCTGAAAGATTTCTTTTCTCTCTATTTTTTTTTATATATATATATATATAGATAGATACCTATCTTCATTTAGCTTACACCGATGCGAAAAATCATTTAGGACGGTGTCATTCAGTGCCTTGCAAAAAAAACCAACACAAGAGATATTAAATATAACTCGGGGTGACAGGTTCGACAAGCGCAACTTTACAGATGCTACAGGTTATATACAACCCAGCGTCGACTCAAACACAAGAAGCAAGAATTTCACCCACTGCTTCCACAAATTACTTGCAAAAGGTGTTTGGTTTTTTTTGTTTTTTAGCATCTCCCATCCCTCAGGCTTGGTCTTCCTGATGCTGTTTGCCACAACCATCCGATTTGGCTGATTTAAGTCTCTTGCTACGTGCTTGACCCCCCCCGAGCATCCTTTTTGCTGTATTTTAACGTCCTTTAGGTCAAGGTGCCGAAGTGTGAGCGTGACTTGTCACCTATAGCGCATCCAAAATAGCTTTTTCTCGGGCTGTACCACACCAAGCATTACCGCTTTGGGGTTTTTTGGGGCATTCAGCAGCACTTTTTGCCTTTAGACAGGCGAAGAAAGACAGCGAGGCTCAGCCGAAAGCAGAGTGGCGCGGGGGTGAACCAAAACCCGGCCGGGGCTTCAGCCTTGCTGCGGGGGGCGGGGGAAAGAAATCACTTTATTTTTGTGTATTGCTGCAGGAGGTATTTGCAGCATGCAAGGTGCGGAGCGGGCAGGTCCGTATGTACACGAGGAAGAGTGGTTTTTAGGATTAAAGGGTTAAAATTGCAATCCAGCAGCTTGTTGCTTGAAAAACCCATATCTGACCCTCCTAAAACCCCTATGGGGTATATAGGTGCTCGGGTGCAACGCTGCGGCGTGCCCCGGGGCAAGGGGTTTTGGTGGCAGCGGGACTAAGGGGATTAGGGAAAACCCTGCTTGGTAGCAAAGAGGATTTTTGGAAACGCTCTTGCAGTGATGCCAAGGACCGGGTGAGCTCCTCTCTGCCCGGTCCCTCTCGGGGTAGCCCCAAGGAGGAGGAGGAGGTGGTGAAGGCCATTTTTTGGGGCATCCAGCTCCATTACTGTCCTGCCACGACGGGGACGCGTTTGGGGTGGAGAAGGAAATTTTCATCCGGTTGCCTAAACCGGAGCCGCCGGGGAGGCGATGGGGAGCGTCGGTGCCCGTGCACCCCAAGGGCTCTTCACCAAAGACGACCGCAAGCAAGAACAGGGGGGTTCAGGGGGTCCCCACGGGGACACAGGTGACATCTCAAAGCTGCGGGATCCGGGGTGCATCAGTGCATGGCGAAAAGGGTGAGGAGGAGGAGGGCGGCGAGGGATGCGTCGGCAAGGTGCAGCCGGATGCCAGAGGCCAGGCGGTACTCGCGGTACTGCTGGATGCACATCTCCCGGATCACCTTCGTCACCACCTTGGTCTCCAGCTCCGTCTCTGTTTGGTTCACCGCTGG